AGCCCCCCCCCCACACACACATGCACACACCTCCCCGGTCTTGCCCTGCACCAAAATCGTCCCCGAGTCCATCACATCATCAAAAGCCATACTGCCGCCGCCACGGCCGCCGCCGCCGCCGCCGCGATTGCCGCCGCCGCCAGCCTTGCCTTTGTTAGCGGTGCCGCCGCCGCCGCCGCGGCTGAGGACTAGGTTGCCGCCCTTACCCACCACTTTGGCGCCTTTGCCGATGGGCACCGCTGGCGGGGGGGACATGCCCGGGGTTCCGGGCAGCCCGGGAGGAGCGGAGGCGCCGCCGGCGGGTTTGGAGTCGGCGCCGTCGGTGGCCGTGTGCGGGCCGCCGGCTACGGCACCTAAGCTAATGCCGTCGGCGTTAGGGCCGAGCTGGCTGGTGTGTGGGGAGGTCGCGGGGGTGACGCTGGTGGAGCCCATGCGCCGGCGCTTGGGCGCCTGCCGGTGGGGGGTGGGAGGAGTGGGAATGGGAGTGGGAATGGAAATTGGAATGGGGCAGCGTGTGGGGTGGTGAGGGCGAGCACGTGTGGAGGATCCGAGGCAATGAATCCGTGAGGACGTAGGAGGTCCCGTGCGTGTATGTATGTATGTATGTATGTATGTATGTATGTATGTATGTATGTATGACTTAGATTACACTGTGGGCCGCGAGAGCCGGGGGCCGAAGCCGAAACACAGCGCAAGGGTCGGGAGCACACAGCACAAGTATGTAATGTATGTATGTATGTACGTATGTATGTATGTATGTATGTATGTATGTATGTATGTATGTATGTATGTATGTATGTATGTATGTATGTATGTATGTATGTATGTATGTATGTATGTATGTATGTATGTATGTATGTATGTATGTATGTATGTATGACGTTGATTACACTGTGGGCTGAAAAGCCGGGGGCCCAGGGCCGAAGCACAGCGCGAGGGGCGGGTGCATACGGCTGGTTAGTCTCATGCACTCCGCCCCCGGGTCAGGCCGCACGGGAAACGACGGCCGGCACGCAACAGCGCTTGTTTGGCGCTCCAACTAGACGGGATCTATGCCCGTTGGTCTCCTAACATAAACGAAGTCGCAACTGGGGGGCTCTTCCTGCCGACCGAACGAACCGAGCATCTCAGAGAGCTCGCAACCAGGACCTGGGCGACCGGGAGCCCGACGAGTCATCCCGGGCATATGTATGTATGTATGTATGTATGTATGTATGTATGTATGTATGTATGTATGTATGTATGTATGTATGTATGTATGTATGTATGTATGCATGCATGCATGTGCGTATGTGTGTGTGCGATATGAGGTGTGGGTTCGACAAGCGAATACGCGGTGTGGGGCTGAGGAAAGGACGGACGAGCGCAAGAGTGCTTCATTGCCGCTGAAGGGCACACGGGGAGCGAGCGAACAAGGAAAGGGTGGAACCACTGGCCTTCGGAACCCAGGTCGGTTGACCCAGATCAGATCAGACCGGTGCATCAGGGGAGGGAAACGTCCGGGGAAGGAAGAAGATACCACCCAACCGCGTGGAAGTGATGCTGGAATATAAAATAGTAAATCGTATATAAGGTATGCAACCCAATGGCTGGTTGCAAATTTCTGCGTGTGTTGTTTGGGTGATGCGCCTGGCCAAAAGGAAATAGTGGCAAAAATGGCTAGCTGCGTTGAAGTTGGAGGGAAGGTGGGGAGCTGGGCATGCCGAGAGAGATGAACGGAGATTTTTGGGGGGTAGGGAAGGAACTGGTCCGGAGGGAGGAAGGCGCAACAAGCAACAGCATCCAGTTTGTTGCCCCGGCCGTGGTATGTATTGATTGGACATGGTACACCCGGTGAATGCATACAAAACACCAAATTACCCCAAACATACGGACAGCGCACGGGCAACCCTGTCGCGCACAGCAGCATGGCATTGCGACAGGTTGTTTTACCACAGGGGACTTGACAACATCGATGACTTCAATTAAGTGTACTGTGGGACGGAAACCGTTTAATTGGCGTGAGCACCTACCTGCGCGGAGCCGTCCATGCCATCTGCTGTTGGAAAAGGTTCCGGGCTTTTACCCGTATCTACCATGTGTCATGTACTGGCCGCGGAACGGTTTCAAGCGCCCATCACTACGAGAGTTCACTTCGCGCGCTGCAAACGTGTACTGCAGGGTTCGCTTTACAATATTTAGTGCGATATCGACCGCAGCTATGAATGTAACCGCCGAGGATAGAGATTTGGGGCCTTCCCAAATTGGTGACAGTTTGTGTTCAGTCAAGTGGTGCGTAACTTGTTATGGAGTATGATATCTGAACAGAATCTTATGGTAACTAGGTAGAGTAACCGCCCCGAATGTGTTTGGAGCTGTTGGCCTTGGCGTACGTGGGCCGAACCTAACGCTCTGACAGCTGCTCATACAGCACGCATGCAACGCCAACTTAAAAACAGACAACCGTGCACAATTTGTGCTGCGATGCTGTCCCCTACGTACAATCCACGACCTTTTGTTCCCACCACAGGTCGTCATTTAGCTGCATCAACGACTTCTCTGGCTGCCGCTCGGCGTGTGCTGCACCTAGTCCGGAGTGCATTGTCGTCTACTCCTGGAACCACATCCTTACCTGGGCATCTGATCGATCGAGCGGCAAGGACAGGTGTTCGAAAGGCCGCCATCCCTACTAGCGCAGCCCCAGCAGCAGTTCGGGCCGCCAACACCATGGCATCAGAGAAAACTTCTTGCGGCAGCATCCGCAACGAGCTGTTGGAGCTATTCCGCACAGCTCTGACGGTTTCCTTCCCAAGCGTCTCCGCTGAGCCAGTTGTCGCGGCGTGCAACAACGCCAAAAACGGGGATTACCAATGTAATAATGCAATGGCGCTGTTTGGCAAGTTGAAAGGCACCCCAAGTGCCCCCAAAGCGCCGCGGGACGTCGCGACGGCCATCGTTGGCGCACTGCCGGCGAACGGTCTCATCGCAGAGACCAGCCTGGCTGGCCCCGGCTTTATCAATATTCGCCTCAGCCGTGACTCCTTGTCGACGCGACTGAGCGAAATGCTTGTAAAGGGCCTGGCGAGCTGGGCGCCCACTGGCTATATCGGCAAGAAGGTGGGAAGGATGCTCGTGAACTCACGCGACACACAGCGATGAAAACTTGCGTTCTTCCCGCGTTGGATTCCAGAGAGCGGTGTAGGCTGCCTCAATCAGCAGCAGCAACCAGTATGGATTTGTGCTGACCAACATGAAGGGGTATAAAGGAGGGATGGTGTGTGTGTGTGTGTGTGTGTGTATAATCGATCTGAGCCTGCCATGCCCCCCTAATCATGTCCCCTCATGCAATCATGCAGCAGTCTCCACTGCCTTTGTTGGTTCTTAGCGGCGACAAGCTTACCCCAAACCCCGAAAAACCCAAATATACTTCTCATGTGTCCCCGAAGCCTTCAGAATTGTTTCATCGGCTTTTTGCCGCTTACAGGTTGTGATCGACTTCAGCAGCCCCAACGTGGCCAAGGAAATGCACGTCGGGCACCTGCGCTCCACCATCATCGGTGAGCAGCAACAAGTAGCTCCTTGGCGCTCAAAGCTGGTTTGGTTTCCATTTTTGTCGTTTTTGCCGTCGTTGGTTTTGCTGTTGTTGTTGCTGGCCGCCGCCGCCGCCGCCGCAACGGATTGCGTTGCGTCTCCTTTCCAGTTGAAGGAGGTTCGGTGGTCCCTCCTGACCCGCACACGCACTGACATGGAGGGCCTTCTAAGGCCTACATGGACCCTCTGAACGCCAGGCAATAACAGGGTTTTGAGTACAGAGTATTTTGCTATGAAGATGAAGACAAACTTTCATTTCGGGGAAGTTCCTGTCAGCCACGTCGCCACGTACGCCGACCATGCATGCGTAAATAAACGGTCGGTGAATTTATGCCGCTCGCCGTCCACTCCCTCCCATGCCCTTTTCACGATCCCTCCAGCCCAACGCAGCCCAGTCCGGCTGAATAGTAATGTCCTCGCTGTACGGCTTTTTTCCCATTTCGCCGCTACATCATCGTTGCTTCGCTGCTCCGCCCATGGCCCCAGGTGATACCCTGTGCCGCATCTTTGAGTACTGCGGTGCGGATGTGCTGCGTCTGAACCACGTGGGCGACTGGGGCACGCAGTTCGGCATGTTGATTGAGCACATGGCGGATGCCCGGCGACTGCGGGTGGCAGCAGGGGGCGAGGACAAGGACATGGACGAGGACGTGGCGGACTTGCAGGTACGGCGTGTGGCGGTGCTGAGGTCGGGTTTGGTTGCCGGGGTGCTAAGGCTAAGGATATATATATGCTGGGGACCTGCTTGGGAGGGTGTTTGGATTTTGTGATTTGGGAGAAGCCAGGGGGGGAGGAAGGAGGGGAAAAGCGGGGGGAGAGGGAATTACAAATATGGGGTATGTGGACTGTTGGACTATTGGGATGGGGTGGTGGTGGAGATGGTGGTGGGACGCGCATCGCTCCGCACAGCTTAGCCTTCGCACCGCCGACCCCACGGCGTTCCCCCTCTATATACCTCCCTCTCTCTCGCACCTGAAGTGGGGCATTGATCGATCTATTGGTTGCGCAGGAGCTGTACCGCGCTGCGAAGAAGCGCTTCGACGAGGAGGAGGAGTTTAAGACGAGGGCCCGTGAGGCGGTCACCCGCTTGCAGAGTGGTGAGATTGGGCGATTGGGCTGATCTGTGTGATGTTTGGGCTTGGGGTGGTCACCCAATGCAGCTTGCGAACGGTGGGGGCGTTAGAGGGGCCGTGCGGTACAGACAGACATGCAGACAGGCATGCAGGCAGTCTCGAAGCATGAGTGTTTGGGCGTCTGGGTTGTGTGTTGTTTCGGCGCCACGGGGAATTTCCGTCTGAGATGCGAGGCCTCGAGGAATGTACACACGGACACGATTGAATGCCGCTGTGCGTGCTGGAACTGAAGGCCTGAACACTGAACAAGCCGACTGGACAAGCCTACTCATCCTCCTCATCCTCGTGCAGCTGTTATTGCACAACATGGCCGAAATATATTGCGTGTAAAGGTCTTCTGCGCCTAATCCTCCTCCTCCTCGCATTCCCCTCTCCCTCCCCTTCCTTCACCCGTTCATGGTTCGTCTTTCCCTCCCCTTCCCCCTCCGTCCCACCTCTTAATATTCTTGTTTTCGGGACCGGATCGGATGGGGCCGGTCAGGCGACCCGGAGAGCCTGGCGTCCTGGCAGCGCATCTGTGCGGCGTCCCGGCGGGAGTTCGAAGCGATCTACAGCCGCCTGGGCGTGACGCTGCAGGAGCGGGGGGAGTCCTTCTACAATCCGATGCTAAAGGCAAGGGGAAAAGGGCGGCCATCGGGCGGCAGAGGCCGTGGCGCAGGGCGTGCTTGGCTGAGCATACGGGACGATTCTGTTCGACATTTCTGTGTGTTCTAGGAGGGACGGAGGAGGGATTGGTAGGATTGGGGGTTTGGGTGGGCGAGGTTGAGTGTTATGAAGACCCCAGCTGGATCAATCCATTCCATGACACACGCTCTCTCGCTCGAAATCAAAGCGGTATCTGTTCTTTTCTCTTTTAATCGTTAATTATGTGGTAATGCTTTGGATGTCGGACGGAGGCCGTATATTTGTTTGTTTTTATTTATTTATGCATGACATATGACTTGTAATTTACTTTTGCAGGACGTGGTGGAGGAGCTGAAGGCTGCCGGTGTGGCGACGATCGACAACGGGGCCGCGTGTGTGTTTGTGGAGGGGCAGTCTGTGCCGCTAATTGTACAGAAGAGCGATGGTGGTTTTGGGTACGCCTCCACTGACATGGCGGCGATCAAGCACCGCCTCAACGAAGAGAAGGCCGACTGGATTATCTACGTGACAGGTGAGTGGCAAAGGGGGGGAGGATCCTGGTGGGCAGGGCAGGGCACGGCGGGGGCAGGGCAGGGCAGAGCCGGGACAAGGAGGAGCAGGGATGGGCTGGGCTCTGCGAAGAAGAGACTTAGGGTGTGTTCCCCGGGCGGGGTGGGTGCGGGGTTTCTGAGAGTGTGTGGTAACCTGGTACATGTGGGGTTTCTGCCCGGACCCGTGTGCTGTACTGCAAATACATCATTTATGTTACATATCCGGTATGTCCAACAAGGCCCACAAGATGTTGAGGCGTGCCGAGCCGACACAGGGGCTCAGCCCATACGTATTACACGTAATACATGTTATATAAACGTTCATGATAGTGACAGAGGGCACGTGCCACCTGCTTGTTTGTTTCACGTACCGGGTCCCCTGGTCTCATCTATGGCTCCTCGCCCCCTCGAGCTCCCTTCCGACTGCGCCGCTATCCTCCGGCCCCCTGTCCCCCGGGGTCTTTTATTTCTTATTTCTGCTATGGTGCTCCGCGCGGGCGCTGCTTACCTTGCCTGTCTTCATGCCTTGGAACACCGCAGATGTGGGTCAGTCCCAGCACTTCGAGCTGGTGTTCGCGGCCGCGAAGAAGGCCGGTTGGCTGGTGGATGGCTCGGGGCCCAAGGTCTCGCATGTGGGCTTCGGTCTGGTGCTTGGCGAGGATGGAAAGCGGTTCAGGTGCGCGGTCGGGGGGTGCAGACCTGGTGTCAGTGAACCAGGGTATATGTCTGTGTCATGCTTCCTTTCCTTTTTTTGTTTTTTTCATGTTTCTGTGGCCTGCAGGACTCGATCTGGCGACTTGGTGCGGCTGGTGGAGCTGCTGGATGAGGCTAAGAGCCGGTGCGCGGCCACCATTCGGGAACGCCGCGCGGAGGCTGGCGAAGAGGTACGTGCGCGCTGATCTCCTTTCTCCCTCTGTCGCGCGAGTGCATGTCTCGATGTCAGCTGGTGCTGGTGCATGTCCTTAACTTTCCGTACAGCAGATCAGTCGCCATCTTCACCGCCATCAACAACACCATGACCACAAGCTCAACACTGAAAAACCCTGAAAAACCTAAGCTCAAACCCAGCTCACATCATCACCATCGTCTGCGGGGACGGTTAACAGGTCAACAAAGCACAACTGCGTCACCTGGGCGTCCCTTTGCGAAGGGCTATATTATATTACGAACCCGCTTCTGCTGACAGGGTATGCGGAATAACCGCCATGTGTTTTTAAGGTCGTGGTCAGTCGCACACCCGGCATGTTTTGCGTGGGCCATCACCATCACCATGGCCTTGACGGTGAAACGCTCGCAGGTCGAGCGCTGGCCACAACTACACTAAAACACGACTAATGCCCTGAGCTGGTGTGCTGGCAGGTTAACGAAGCCGAGGTCGAGGATGCGGCTTGCGCTATGGGCTACGGCGCCGTGAAGTACGCCGATCTGAAGAACCACCGTACTACCAACTACAAGTTCAGCTTTGACGAGATGCTCAACCTCAAGGGCAACACTGCGGTGTACCTGCTGTACGCCCATGCCCGCATCGCAGGTGCTTGAGACTGTCCAGTTCTAAGCCCGACGTGTGCAATGCCTGTATGCCTGTTGGTCAAAGCTTTATCGGAAAAAGGATTAGGCGGTCATGCGGTGGATAGCATTTTTTGTGAGCATTTGACCTTTTGGCCTGGCTGTGTGCCACGTTCGTGGCGTTCTTTTAGCTCGGCAAAAATTCCCGGTTGCCGCCCGTTTAGCCGTACCGCCGTTGCCACGTGTAGGCATCGTACGCAAGGCTGACAAGGACGTGTACGCGCTCGCGGCCGACACGCCAATTTCCCTGGACCACCCGAAGGTGAGGTGGCAGCGGGGCACCGGGAGGGAGGAGGGCTAAGCATGGAGGGGAGGGAAGAGGGAACCAGCTGTCAAAGGGTGGGGACAGGACCGGCAGTGCTGAGTGGTGGCGGTCGTGACCATTACGGTAGCCATAGCCACAGCATCCAGTGCCTAGGACCACCCTTCAATCACAGAGGGCTCCCTGTTGCACGTCACACCTTGCTCCTCCTCTTGCCCCCGCAACCAACCGTCAGCACCTTTACCCGAGCCCTTCTCTCTTTTGGCCCTCACATGCCACCGTGACCGCCACTTACTTCTCACCGCGATTGCAGGAGTTGGAGCTGGCTCTGCACCTCTGCAAATTGCCCGAGGCGCTGGAGGACGCCATTGAGGAGCTGGCACCCAACAGGCGAGTGGACGTTGCATTTAGGAATCTGGTTCCCAGTCAGGGGGAAGGGAGGAGAAATGCGGCCCTAGGACAAAGGGAAGGATCCGCTTGGGGAGTTGAAAGTGGCTGGGGAGAGCTGGGAGAGCGCTCCGGGTGCTCTGCTAACTGGACTGAGAAGGATGCAGTGGGATGGCAACCCACCCGTCCATCGATTTGCCTTGATGTTTGCTCCGAGCTGGGTTCACTCTCAACGCTCTCGATCTGCCCTTGCGCGCCACTCATTACCGTTCCATTAAACTTAGGGTCACCGACTACCTGTACGACTTGTCGGAGAAGTTCAACTCGTTCTATGTGGACTGCAAGGTGCTGGGCAGCGAGCAGGAGGCGTCCCGGCTGCTGCTGTGCGAAGCGACGGCAGTCGTCATGCGCAAGTGCTTCGAGCTGCTGGGCATCAGGCCCCTCTACCGCATCTAGAGCAGGGCGGGCGTGTGCAACTGTTGGTCACCTAGGGAGCGAGCGAGCGAAAGCATCAGCGAAAATTGACTGCAGGGCCGTGTTTGCATGGAGGCAGCAGGAGGCCTGCTAGCTGCTGATAATCTTGCTTTTTTGGTTGGTTTAAATGTTTTGTTCCGGCTGCGGGGGGCCAATGATGTTTGGGGGGAACTTGTATGTGGAAGTGGGAGCAGGCTTTCGGTAGCTGTGAGGACAAGAAGGGGGGGACGAGGTGATACGGGGCGTGCATTACGGCGGGCATGGCGGGGCTCCAGGGGGGTTCCGCAGCTCTCGCGGTGTGGCAGGATGCGTGGGAAGGCGCAAGACCGGGGAGATATCCACACGTGACTTCGAGGAGGGGGACGGGCACTGCGAAAGGGGACAAACGTCGTTTTTGTAGTGTCTTGTTTTAGGCTTAGGCGGGACGTGGGAGTGACCTGTGTTAGTCAGCAAGCCAGGCTGGTGTATTTTGCTCAGTAGTGGCAAGGATGTGGGAGCGGCTTTGGGCGGAATGCGCGGGGCTACGGCCGATTTTGTTTGAAAGTGGGTTCTTGCCTCTCTCCCATGCTTTGCGGAACGGGATTTAACATTCACCAGGATAATGAGCCACACGGCTTTCGAGCCCTCGGCCTTCCGAACCCCTCCGCCGTCACCGCGATGGAGGCGCTGTAATGCCTTTTACGTGAGCGCGTGGCGTGCAGCGGGATGCGAAACGCTCAGCTCTTGTGTCGACGACGATGGCAACACCGTGTGATGGCAGGTATATGACACTGTAGTCCTGTCACGGCGGGCGCTTGACTGTCCGCATAGGAGGACCGCATCCTCGCGCGTGAGACACACAAACACAATTCGTGACATATCGTTTCAAAATGATGGAAACCAAGATGGCGAGGAGGGATGGAACACCGTGATGGACACGGAAAAGCTCTCCTTCCAGAGGTCCAGACGCCTGCAAGGCGGTCCGTGCTTCGGTTGCGGTAAGACCCCCCCCACTTAACCTGCTCTCTGCTTGCGCAGTGCGCATGGCCATCCCTTAAGAATACTTCCCGACGGGGACGCTGTTGGACACCAATGCGGCACCTATGCTGCCCGGGGCGTCGGATTCAGCAGCGAACATGCCCGGCACCGAGGTGCCACTTACCCAGCATACTGCGCAATTTACGCACAATCACTGACATACATATATGCATGATGTACGATTGTCACATCCTGTCGAAACACACAAGACACATACATGTAAGACACACGCATGTGGCTGTTGTTGTTGCGAACAGCCCGGAATGCCCGCACTCATGTCCCTCAACGCTCATGCCCTTGTCCCGCACATGCAACAACCAAGTTTGATTTTGTTTTGCTCTCTAAAAGGCGGCCACTCCTCCCCCTCCTCCTTCTCCTCCTCTTCCCCCTCATATATTTAACCAAAGCTCACACACACACACTCACACAAAGAAGAGATATACGTGGAAGGGAAACAAACAGACGGATGAACAGCACAAAAAAAGACGGGCAGGCAGACAGCCAAATTCAAATAGTTCTATACACAGACATGGCCCCCCTTCCTACGTAAACAGTATCTATCTTTCAGAAAGGCAGATCCTGCTGTGTGCATGCTGGCGGTGGCAGGAACCGGTCGACCTTCTCGTCGGTGAATGCGCGCAGACCCACACCCCCCGCGGAGGTGGGTCGCAGCCTGGAGCCGCCGGCGGGCGACGAAGAGCGGGCGACCGCTGGGCCAGGAACCCCGGGGCCCCGTGCCGTTGTTGCGGGTGAGCTGATGCTGCTGCGCAGCCCCGAGGCTGCAATGGTACTGCTGATGCTGGTGGGGGTGGGTGCGTGGTTGGGCGTGGCGGTAGCGCTAGAGCTGGAACTGGGGTTGGAGCTGGCGCGGTTCATCAATCCGATGAAGTTGGAAGGGGACGCGGGGGAGCGGCGAGGGGATGGGGAGGAGGCGGAGGGGTCAGGTACGGAGGCAGTCAGGGGCCGCCCGCTGCTGTTGTTGATGCTCCTGTGTGGTTGTAGTTGATTGATGTTGATGTTGATGTTGATGTTGATGTTGATGTTGATGTTGATGTTGATGTTGGTGCCGTTTGGATTGGGGCCGTTGCCACCAACCGCGGAATGGAAGGCATTTCACAGGGGAACGGGAACGGGAGGGGGAGGGAGATCGGGGATAGAGGGGGAGAAAGCTATGGACAGGATGTTGGGGGTTGGGGGTTGCAGGTTAAGGGAGGACGTTTTGTATGCGCCACGGGTTGCGGTTCGTGGCAGACATGTAGTTGTCTGGCGCAAGAGTTGGGCCACAAGGTTCCCGGCCCCACCGCAGAACAGAGCAGAGCGGGGATGATGACGCTTGGTGGCAGAGGGGGCTGGGGTCAACGGCGCTCAGACAGGGCATTGTGGGCGGTGTGGGGTATCGCAACCCACAAGTCAAGACTGTCAAGGCATGTGCGCCAAGGTGCCGGGGTGCGTGAGGGGGATACAACTCAAGGTGCAACACACACACACACACACACACACATATATATATATATATATACATATATACATATATATAGCATATATGTATATATATTTATAGTATAAAAAGCTATATCTGGAATGGAATGGAAACTAGACACACCGGGCAGGGGCTCCGCCGCCACCACTGCCAAAACCGCCGCCACCGCCGCCCGCCAAGTTGAGTCCGCGGACCCCCGGCGCGTGGTACGACGCTGTGTTGGCGCCGCCGAAGATGGGACTGCCGCCGCCGCCGCCGCCGCCGCCGCCGTTGCTGGCTACTGTCACACGCCTGCTGCTACTGCTTCCGTCACCTTGACTAGCGCTTCCGCCCGTAGCTGCCGTACTTCCCGCCGCGTCCGCGCCTCCGCCACCATCTAATATCCCTTCGCCACCCTGAAGTGAAGCGCCGAACCTCCCAAAGCTGGGCATGATGCCCAGATCCCCCTCCCCGCCATCGCTGTCGCGACCGCTTTGAACTAGCCCGTTGCCGAAGCCGTTGCCGTTGCCGTCGCCGTCGAAACCGCCGTCTCCGCCCCCATCGCCTCCGGTGTTGCCGTCGCCGTCGCCGTCAGCGGCGGCCGCCTCCGCCGCCAACTGATCACGGAGCCCCAGAAGCGCCCGTTGCTGCTGCTCCACCGCCACCGCGCCGCTCTCCAGTTGGGCTGCTAGCGCCTGCATGCGCTGGCGCTCGGAGATCAGCAACTCCGCAAAGGCACGCAGCGGTGCACCCCTGGCGACGCCGCTGACGCCGCCGCCAGCGGGACCGCCGCTGCGGTACGGCCCCAAACCCGCCGACGGGGGTCGCGTACGGGTTCCTCCCGCTGTCCCCGGCCGTACCTGGGGATGGTGGTGCGAATGGCGATGCAGGCCGCCGCCGGCTGACAAGGGTGTACGCCGGCCGGTGGCGGCGACGGCCGTACCTGGCCGTGAAGGCGGCACACGGCCTGACAGGCTCGCGACGCCGCCGCCGCCTCCGCCGCCGGAGGCGGCGGCGGCGTTAGCGCGCTCCGGAGTGTCGACATCCTCCCCGCCGCCGCCGCCGCCACCACCGCTGCCGTCCAGCAGATCTTCATCCCCGGCGCGGCTGCCCGATTTGATTCCAGCTCGCCGCTCCAACATGGCGTAGCGGTGTTGCATCTCCCTAAGAGCCACGAAGGCCGCGTCCACGCGGTCTCGGAGCGCCCTGTTATCCTGCTGAGCCACCTGTGGGTGTATGTACGACACGTACGCGGGTGTTGGTGGGGGGAGGGAGGAGGAGGAAGAAGACAATTTTCGTAGGAAGACTGAAGGCTCACACGATCACGCAATGCTCCGCACACCCACAGAAAAAATACATCCAAATTTAATTAAAAAAAGTTTACAAAGCCTAAGCACGAAGCCTAAACCCACACATCCCCACACACAATCTCTCGCTCAACCCTTTCCCCTCCCCCCCGACACACACATACATGGTCTGTTCTGGGTTGACACTACTGCGATTCGCGGTTTAAGGTCCTGGGTTCGATTCCTGGGGAGACCCCCGAATTTGTCGGGAGCGCGAGATTATGGCTAGCTGCTGAGATGTGGAGTTGAGGTCGCAGTTGATGGACCAGATTCGCACGCTAGATTGGTGGCGATTGCCGAACCCTCCGTCTCTTCGGTTGTTCGGGTGAATGGATGAGGAGGGGTCCTAGACGGCTGGACCCGCCGCCTTGGACTTACAGTTCGTATGGCGAAGTATAGTGTGGTAGTGGTGGACGGTGCTATAAGATGATAAATCGTAGAACTGACAACGTGATAAAGCGGCCCAGAAGCCTCCCACTCTGTAACATTACAAATTACATACATACACACGCACACCCCCAACGCCCAATCAACATACATACACACGCACACACAGCCACACGCACGCTCACCTGCAGCTCCCGAAGCAGCTGGCTGTTCTGGTTCAAAGTCAGTCGCTGAGTCGCCCGCTGCGTCCGAGTCTCCTGATCCAACCGCCACTGCAGCAACACCACTCGCGTCTCCGCCGCCGCCGCCGCCGCAATCGCCTCACTCGCCGCATTCCTGTTGGCGTTCGCCCGCGGGTCACCCAGACAATACTTCCGTACCAAATCGTCCAGGGCCTTTTGTCGTGCAGATTTGCCGTGTACGGACCGATCATCCGGCAGCTGCATGGCGCCGTACAGCTCCTGGGCAAAGGCGGTAATCGCGGCGTCTTGGAGCTCACAGCGCCGTTTGAAGTCGGCGAGGCTGGCCATGGCGGTGCGCAGAGCGGAGTCCTTCTCGGCGACATGGCGGTTCAGGAGTTGCGTTCTCTTGGCCTGGTTGAGCAGCTCCCTGCCGTGGCCCTCTAATGAGTCCTGCAGCTTGGCGATTTCCTCGAGCTGGGGCTCCAGCTTTTGCGCGTACGTCTCAGCCTGTGTGGCGGGTGAGGGGCCCCGGGCGAAGATGTGTTTTCTAAACGAGGGGGGTTTTAAAGGGGGAAGGGGGAAGAAGGCTCCGGTGTTAAAAAAACATATTTAAAGCGGGGTGAAAAAAATAGCAACAGAGAAACAACAACCGTTACTACTACTACTACTACTACTACTACTACTACTACCACTATACTACCACTACAACAACATACAGATTTACAGACGAGTTCTTCGTAATGTCTCCACCTCACGACGCGCACCGATGGCCGTGCGGAAGATATCCGTACGGTGTCGTACGACAAGACGTATTTGTACCTTGTACGACAAGACGTATTTGTGTTTCTCCAGCTCTTGGAGCTTGCGGCGAAGTTGTTGGATGGTGACGTAGTTGTCCGCGTTGACCGCATCCCGTTCATCTAGCTCTTTTTTGAGTTTGGCGATGGTGAGTTTGAGATCCTCGGTTTGCTCCCTAAGAGCCGCGTTGTCGGCTGTCAGTTTGTCCATTCGCTTCATGTCGATGGTCTTGTCCGCTGAGGTCGCAGGAGAGAGGCGACATGAGGTTAGGGGGAGGGGAGGGAGGGGAGGAAGAAGGCGGGGGGAAGGCGGGGGGCAGACAAGGGGGTTACGGGCGCGTGTCGCGCATGCGGCGGGAGATACGACATGTGTGTATGTGTGTATGTGTGTATGTGTGTATGTGTGTATGTGTGTATGTGTGTATGTGTGTATGTGTGTATGTGTGTATGTGTGTATGTGTGTATGTGTGTATGTGTGTATGTGTGTATGTGTGTATGTGTGTATGTGTGTATGTGTGTATTCCCCCCCGAGCCCCTCCTCTCTCCCCCCCGAACCCCCCGAAGCCCCCGAGCCCAGCCCACCTTTAAGTCTGAGGTTGGTCCGTTTAAGGATGTTGTTGTCCGCCTTGAGCCGCTGTTCCCGGGATTCGGCCGCCTCCGTCAACACCGACACCTTCTTGTTGATGCGCTGACTGTGGTCCTCAAAGTCCTCCTCAGCCTGCGTGTGTATGTATGTATATGTGTATGTGTACGTATGTGTATGTATGTGTATGTATGTGTATGTATGTGTATGTATATGTGTCTATGTGTGTGTGTGCGTGCAGGAGCAGGAAGTGGAGGACGGGGATGTACGTGTGTATGTATGTGTGTTTCGTGGCGACTATGCTTGTTTTTGTGTACGTGTGTACATATGTATGTGTATGTATGTATACATGCAGATACATACACACATACATACTAAGTTGTGGCGCCGTTAATCCGCTAGATTTGGTTGGATGCTGGTGGTGAGTTGCCAAACCCTAAGAGTACATTCTGAAGTCGGATGGGGTGAACGGATTAGGGTGCCCCTCTAGCAGGGGAGAGCAGGGAACTGCCTCCAAGGGAAAGGGGGCCGCTGGTGAAGCTATACCACCCTGTAACAACATACATACATACACACATATCAGCAACCACCCACCCGCCGAACCCACCTGTTTCACGTACTCATTGAAGAAGCGGTCCTGCTCAGCTCTGACGTCAGCCGCCTCGGACATCTTGGAGTCCATAGCCGCCAGCTGGGCCTCATAGTGGTTCCGGAGCTCCTAAAAAATGGTTTAACGGGACGTGGGGGTTAGGGACCCATTTAAGAAATAAGGGCCAACAACCTTGCCGCCAACCTACAGCACATATCCGATTATATTCGTTCTTATGTCCACACATCCGTACATCCGTACGTCCGTACATACCTGCAATTCCCTTTCATGCGCGAGTCTCATCCTCTTGACCTCCTCCTCCCCCCGGTAGCGCGCGTCATCGCGGGCAGCTGCCATCGCCCTAACCCGTTCCACCTCGACCTGCGTGTGTATGTGTATGTATGTCATGTCGTGTCGCGTCGGAGAGAACGCCATGTCGGGGGGCCGGGGGGACATACGCGCGCGCGTGTGTGTGTATGTATGTGTGTATGCATGCATGCGTGTCGCTACCCCGTGTGTGTGTGTATGTGGAAATATTCTCCACTGCACCACCTCCCCCCCCCGGGGGGTACACCCCTAGTTGGAGTGCAAATCTGAAATGGTCAGTCAGTCAGTCAGTCAGTCAGTCAGTCAGTCAGTCAGTCAGTCAGTCAGTCAGTCAGTCAGTCAGTCGGTCATCATGATGATGATGATGATGCACCGCCGATGGGCACTGAGTGACACTGATCCGCGTTTGCCGCCCCTCAACCCCCCCGTTCGCCTCTGTGTACGGCAATGTACGACACACCTGCAATCGCTTCTCGTACAGCGCCTCAAGGTCTTCCGCAGCACTCATATGCGCCCCCTCCAACTCCTGAACGTTTGAGATGGCGGGCGTGTGTGTATACATGTACGTATGTATGTGTTTTTTTAGGAAAAAAGGGAAAGGGGGAGAAAGGGGGGAATCCCAGGGGGTTAGGGCACAGGAACCTTCAATACCCGTGCAGTGATTAACGAGGGAGGCAGGGCCTGGGGGGAGGGTGTCAGGGGGTTAGGGGGATAACTCACAAAAACTAGGAAGGTTGGGGGGTGTTGTGGGTGCGGAGAACAACCGTCGTACCGCATGCTGGGTGGACGGGAAGGCACATGCATATACACACACACTCACATACATACCGCAATGCTCCCCCCCAGTTCTCGCGGTGTCTCTCCCGCCCTGAAGCCGACTAAGGGAAAAGACAAGGGCAGTTCGCAACATGGACAGAGACAGGCCTGTATCCGCAAACGCCAATGATGGATCGGTCGTGGTGGTGGTGGTGGTGGTGGTGCAGGGGCAGTTATCCTAGGTCCCCCCACGAACCCACCTTCACCACTTGGCGCTCATGAAGCCGACCAGATTCCTACATACATACGTACATACATACATACGTGCGTGCGGACGGGCGGGCATTACGGGGGGGGAGGTAGGCCGGAGAGGAGAAATGTAGGGGGTAACGTAGGGGGAAAGAAGTCAGGTTGGCGTCAACCCGGGGGCCAGGGGAAAGCTATAATTCACACAATACATGTGTACAGATATGGGCGAGTGCATTTGTTTGCTTGTGATACGAAATATGGGTCGTCAAGGTTCAAGTCCAACAGATCTCATTATTATATCATGTAATATTCGACGTATTGGGTACATTGGATTCACATTTTACGCAAATACATTTCACACACTTACACATATGCAACATCATCTCCATAGTTTTGCCAAAAGGAAACGTCCACCACACGTCGCTGGTGTCCAACACTATTCGGCGCTTGCTCCGGTACATGACGGAGTTATATTCCCCGGCGTACCACCGTCCCCCCCGGCATTTCCCCCCCATCATCATCATCATCATCATCATTGCGGCTCCGAAGGCCAGTTAACTATACATACTATGCATACATACATACACAGGCACACACACGCTCTCTCCCTCTCTCC